GGGGGGGGGGGGGGTGGTTACGCTAATTGGTTTTGAAGTACGGGACATGCCATTATTTTGGGGGTACCTTTTTTCTGAAAAGGGCAGAAATTTGGGTATCAGTTTTTGAAATATGTGCGGAATTATGGGTACCTTTGAAAAAACATGCAGAATTTTGGGCATCATATTGAGAAATATTGCAAAATTATTTGGGAAATTTAGCATTAACGAAATGAATGTCCAGTTAGAAATGGAAGTATGAAATATGTTGGAATTATTATGATTTTTGGGAAAAGGACATACAAAATTTGTTTGATGATTGTTGTGGCTTGAGAAATTTTTACTGTCTTGCTGAATTATAGGTATAGTTTTCAAAATGCTCACAGAATTATGGGTTCAAATTTTGAACTAAAATGGCACATCCCTGTCCAAAACTAGGCTTAGTTTACCCTTGAGGAGCCGGGTGGTGAGATTTTCGCTGTTTACAAGCGACTGTTATGGAGTCATTACGCGTCCTAAATGGATCACCAAAGCAATTACTACTGTTACATTTCTGCTAAATTGCCTAAACGGCAGTTGATTTAGATCAGATTTAGATCGCGGCATCATGACAAGTATAAAAAGGTGAAAAGGTCAGAAAATAATTGAAACAAATGTGATGGCAGTTGTTTTGCCGCGCGGTTTTGAACATGTTTGCTTAGGCCAAGGATTCAGCTCTATATCGCCACTCAACAAGAGGATTTTTACCGCAATGAGCATAAAAACAGCCCAAAAGATATGACAAGGCTACTCAGGCTGACAGAGAATATGTTACCTTCCCATCAAGATGCAAAAGAATCTATTCTTGCCCTGTAACTTGCCAAATCGATTCCCATTGTAAAGCACGTGTATTTCTTCTGGAATCAAGGAGACAGCGAAAGTATCTCATTCTCCTAGACTTCACAAGTCAAATGTAACGTAGAACTTTTCAATAAAAGAGAAATAAACCAATGTTTTGGTGAATATTCAACAACTGGTGATGAACACCGACTCAGGTGATAGCGCTTCGCAAGATTTATCAACACAAGTCTACGACGTGATTTGAGGCGGTTTTTACACTTTTGAAAAATTGCCCTACCTTCGACACAAACTTTAAACATAACAAAACACAAAAATCGACTGCAGACTATAAAAAAAGTGTAGCAGGTATCGAGAAAAGAAGTTGATGTGTGTTTGGGCGAAAAATTGAAATTTGAAAAAGTTATTTAAGGACAACTGATAAGCGGTTTCGGGAAAATTGCGATTTTGCAAACATTCGGACGCTGAAAATGTTCTGGAATAACTTCTTACCTCTTGCAAAATATAAAAAAGCCATGAACCAGATCATGTTCCATCGATTACATTCCAAATCATATTTTTATCATTTTTCTGCCAAAAGTTATTGAAGGAAAGCCGTTCACAACTCTCACATTTTTCGATTACTTTCGTATAATCATGAATTTTTATTTATTTGTGAAAATATGAAAACCAGTACAACTATGGTTTTTGTAATGTTTAAAAACAAAATCAGTCCTATATATTTAATTAGTCAGAAGCTATTAAAGGGAAAACCAAAGGGTAGTTTGCATGCCAATCATCTGAATCGTCAGGCCTATGTAAATCAATCGAAGCGAGGTATTGTAAGCGAAGCGAAGCGATGTAAAAAGACATAGGACTCGGGATGGCACCAGAGAAACATGCCACCTAAAGTTCTTTACAGCTTACAGAGTCCTTTGCAACGTCTTCCCAACTGCATTACCAAAAAATACTTTTGAAATGCTTTTGTGCTACATGAAATGTGTAAAGAGAACGGAGGTAAAATTTTCCAATGCGATCTGCCAAGAGAAATGTTCAGTTCATTTGACCGCGGCTTTAAACGATTGCAAGAAAATGACTATAAAGTCCCGGTCAAACAAACTGAACATCGCACTGAGCAATAATCAACATTTGCAAATTTTGCTCTGCCTTGCTCAGCGCGCTGCTCAGTACAATGTGGTCAAGGCTACGCAACGAGAAATGAAAACTTCTCGCAAAACTTTTGCCCTTCTTTATGTTGTCAAAATGGCGAGCTTAACGGCTTTTGTGAGCACAATATCCACCAAAACTCTCAAGATATTTTTGGTGCAAAACTTGAATCTACCGCGCAAGTTAGCCAAGCGTAAGTTTAGCAAAGTTCAGTTGGGTGGTCAAACGAACCGAATTTTACATTGAGCAGCCATGTTGAGCGTTGCTCAGTAAAATGTTAAGTTCGTTTGACCGGGGCTTAAAGAGGTTTTCCAAGTGTATTCTAAGCTAATCAAAAGGGCGTGTCCTTTGCTATGTTTGTTAAATCATTTAATCCACCAACTTTTCTTCCCAGTAAAAGTTCCTATCGTTTGGTCTTCATAACCTTTGTTTTGTTACCGAATTACAAAGTTTAAATCTGAAATATGATGGATTGACTACTCACCGAATCTTCAACTTGACCAGAGGCAGCAACAACGAGCATCAAACAGACGATGGTACTCAAATTCAATTCCATCATCACGTACTTCAAATCCAGTTATTTCCTGTATGTTAGCTACAAAATTTCTGTTGTTGTTCATTCATTCGGACCAGCCTGAAGGCTATGCGCACACTTGGCGTTTGTTGAAGAGTTTGGGTTTATGCTTGCTTGCACAAATGAGCAGGGGCGGTTCCAGACTGTCTCGCCATCCGTACATAAGACAGTCAGCTCAGGGGGTAAATTATGCCTAATTTTGGACCGGTACGTGCCACATTGGTTAAAATTTTGGACCCATAATTCTGCAAATGTCTGAAAAATGTGACCCATAATTCTACAAAACATAATTCTGCGAAATTTTTAAAACACAGGAAAAATCATGAACCAAATTTTGCATGTCCTATGCTCCAAAATCTCAATGTTACACATATTCCATACTTTTATTTCTAACTGGACATTCATTCTGTTAATGCTAAATCTCCCTCCTAATAATTTTGCAATATTTCCTCAATCCTGCATGTTTCTTCAAATGGTACCCATAGTTTCGCACAAATTTCAAAAACTGATACCGATAACTCCGCACTTTTCAGGAAAAAGGTACCCCTAAATAATGGCACGTCTCCGTGCCTTCAAACATGTTAAGGTAACCCCCCCCTCCCCCGAGACAGTCAGATTTTCAGACGTGTGTCGAAAAATTGCCTTTTGTCTAGTGCAAAGTATCGTTACTTTTATTGGCTTGCGCTCAGTGTCTCAGTCAGTATACGTAATCATATGAAAGTCAAGGATCCATGAAGATGATATCGGGGAGATCGCAGGGATCCAGTGTAGTCAGATTTGGGGTGTCCGCGAGGCTGATGGTTTTTTAAAAGTTCTTACAGGCAACAACTAACAAATCATATTGTGCGATTGTGCGGCATCGATGAGACGTACGTTGTGTAAATTCATTATGCTGCCTACCACCCCGAAGGAGCCACATGCAAGACCAGGCATTTTGCATTCAATGTTGTGTGCAAAATTTGTGATCAATATCGTGTTGTGTCTTGAAATAGAGCTTTTGCAAAGAGTGGAAGACCTAATAAATGCAGAGGAGTTCCGAGGGCCAGCTGAGTTAAAACATACAGAACTTGCAAATATTGAAAGGGTTGTCATGCACAGTGTATTTTCATGAAGAAATACTTGCAGCCTCTTTTCTTTCAAAGAAAGACATGTGGTTCTGCCAATGATATAGAAGCGCCGAAGGCGCTAGATGTCTAACTCACCGGTACGCTGTGAGGCAATTTTGTTTACTTCCGCCATTTCGAATAGTGCCAAAAAGGAACTTGCTCAATACTGAGCCCTTATAAATTTGATAAAAGTAAGGTTTGATTTCGTTCACTTCTCTTTCGAATATCGATGTGAAATTTGGTGAGTGGCCTTATATTGCACTTAAATTTATGAATTGATGTTAATATTGGAAAAATAAGCCGTCATTCGCAAATTCCAAGCATTGACAGTCGCGGTGCTTGCTGTGGTGTTTTCTGTTTCGTCGAAATTCCAGAAAATAATGATTGATCTGTTTTAAAACCGATCCAGCAACAATGTTTAGCCACTCAATGCATAATCTTCTTAACACATTTGTACAAAGATGTGATTTAGTTACTTTTTCTTTCTTTGTTTTCAGAAACTGCTATGAGATATCTGGGGCCTAACTCTAGAAAAAGCTGCAAATAGGTCATAATTCAATGCTTGGATATTAATAACAGAGTTTAAATATGGTAGCCAATTTTTGATTTTATATAATCATTGATATTTTTATACTGTTTCGAAACCACAATCGTTGCTTGTAATTATTCTTCAGCACAATGCGTCCCTCCCCGCATCTTTAGGTCTATAAAATACCTTCGGGGTACATTTTCACGACAAAGATTACTAATTTGGCCTTACCAAGAGGAAAGAAATTTGATTCATATCAAAGTTCTTTTCTACAAATTCAATTTGACAAACTAAATATCAAACATTCGCTCTTTCCTACTCACTCCATATAAAGCCTGATTTACACGAGACGAATTTTTCGCGCGAAGCGAATTTTTCGCCACGAATTTTTCGCCTGCGAATTCGCTGCGAATTCGAAGTTTAATTTCCACTGGCAAAATTTATTTTGCGAATTCGCCGCGAATAATGCAAATGAACATTGCGTCTTTTCGAAGATTGTTGTTATTAAAAAAGGTTATAATCTTAAAGCTAATTTTGTTGAAAAAGCGAGCAAAAAAGCAAAGAAAGCGGTACTGGGTTCGAAAATTTTATTCAGAACGTCTGCAGAAGGGGGAGTTTCATCTTTTGGTAAGGGACTTACGCTTACATGACCAGGAATACTTCTTTAAATACTTTCGAATGTCGCCAACTACATATGAGGAGCTTTTATTGTTTATTGCAACAAAGATAACGAAACAACGCACAAACATGCGAGATCCTGTTGGTGCAAGTGAGAGGCTTGGAGTAACGTTGAGATTCCTGACTACAGGTGATGCACAGTCTACGATTGCTGCCAGTTTTAGAATGAGCCCCTCGACCATTACTGGCATAATAAGTGAAATGTGCGAGGCAATATGGATTTCGCTAAAAGAAAGAGGTTTTCTCGATGTGCCCTCAAATAGACGCTAGTGGAAAGCCATTGCTAAAGCGTTTGCAAATAAGTGGAATTTCCCCCATGCTCTTGGAGCAATTGATGGAAAACATGTTGTCATGCAGGCACCCTCTAATTCCGGCTCTGAATATTTTAATTATAAAAAGACAAACAGCATTGTTTTGTTAGCAGTTTGTAATGCAAATTACGAGTTTTTTATGGTGGACATTGGAGACTCGGGAAGGCAAAGTGATGGCAGCGTTTACAATAATAGCAATCTTGGGTACGCCATCGAGCAGGCTACGCTTGATATTCCAGATCCAGAAAGAGTAAGCGAGAACTCAGATAAGGTGCTTCCGTTTGTATTTGTTGCCGATGATGCTTTTGGGTTTAAGAAGCATATGATGAAGCCATACCCAAACAGAAATATCCCCTTGGATCAAAGAATCTTTAATTACAGGCTATCCAGGTCCAGACAGGTTATTGGAAATACATTTGGAATCGCAACCAGTCGTTTTAGAATTTTTCGTAGACCAATAATTGCAAAAGTAGAGAAGGTCATCCAAATTACAAAAGCCGTAGTCGCATTGCATAACTTTCTTATGAGCAAAAGTAATGCTCAAAATGATTTAAACTATTGTCCTCCAAACTATACGGATACAGAAGGACCTTGTGGGTTTAGGCCAGGTGATTGGAGGCAGGAAAACACTACCAGCTCTGCGCTTGAAACAATACCCCAGATATCCTCTAATAATTATTCACGAGAGGCAAAATAAGTAAGAGACGACTTCAAGGAGTATTTCTGCTCACCAGCAGGGTCTGTTGAATGGCAAGTCGATATGGTAACAAGAACATACTAAAATCATTTAACTTTATAATTTAACTTTATACATCTGCATATATCTAATATATTTCTTATCAATTATAACAGGAATTTTCATGTATACATAATAAACGCTTGTCTTATTATAAGAACATAGTTTATAATAAGAAAACAAGGGGGCTCGAAATTGCCAAATTTAAAAAATCAAGAACAGTAATCATGCTCAAAAGTCAACAACGGTCTGATTTTTTTTTTAAATTTCATGTTCATTATGCTTTGTTGCTGGTAGTTCGAAACAAATGTGACTTTATGTGAGTTCTGAGCGAAATTTCAATGAATGGAAACAGCTACTTCAGAATAATTTTAAAATATCTTAAGGCCTAAAATTCAAGTATTTTTTAGAATATTGAATCCCAACAATTATCAAGGTATTATTATAAAAAATTTTATAGAATGATTTTCTTATTTTGTAGAAACAACGCTTCAGTCTTGCATCAATTATATTTATATCACAGACTTTGTAGCTACTAAATTTCTTAATCATCTTCACTATACTGAAGATCAAAGAGCAGTTGGCTTATTTTAATCTTAGCAAGGCGTTTCTGTTTTTTCGGAAGCTCTCTCATTATCGGTATCAAACTATGACAGTACAGAGAGTCTTCATCTTCATCTTCACTTAAAGATTTTTTGAGTAGTACGTCACAGTCGACCAGGGACTTACTCAAATCTGATTCGCTCAAGTCAGTGCGTGTCTTCTTTGTGTGTGGCGTTATTTTTCTTTTTATCTTCTTCAACGAAGTTGCAGTAGCAGAACAGCTACTTGCGACACTGCCGCTAGGACTTGGCATGGAGAACTGGGGCTCATCTGCCTGTATAACAAATCCAGCTTCCATTGGTGAAAGGTTGCTCTCCGTAGGTTTATTTGCACTTTTTTCATGCAAGAATGCCATTTGCTCAAAAAATTTACATTTTGGCAACGTTGCAGCTGCAGCACCAGACCGGGTCATGCGATTTCGCTTGTCCAAACATTTTTTCAAAGTATCTTTCAGATTCTTTAATTGTTTCTGAAGGAAGTCAACTGAAAAAAAATGTAGCAATCTGCATTAAGTCTGGGGGTTCTAAAATTTTATTGACAAAGAAACTGTTTGCAGTACACTTTTTGCAGTCTGTTTGTAGTATCAAATTGTTTAAAAGATTAAAACTTACTATTTTTGTTGAACATGGCTGACAGCTTTTTCCACGAATTTTGCTTTGCTGTTCTGTCTTCATACATTGGATGATTCACATCCCAAAGACATCGCAACTCTCTAATGGCTTCAATGAATGTCTCTCTTTCCCACTCTACACTATCAGTAATCTCTTCCTAAGATATAAAAAATACCCCATAAATACTTTAAACTCTCATCAGAACTCTCTTCAAATTTAGATCTATTCTATCATAACGTCAATTTTCTGCTAGCCCTGAATTCAAGACAAAAGACAAAAAAAGAGATTCTCTGATTTTAGGGGGCTCTGCAGCTTTATTTCTAAAAGAAAATACCCATTAATTATTTCTACGTTTTTAGATAGGTGTTCATTGTAAAAAGTAAAGGAAAAGAATAAACTCACCGTGTCTTCTTCATCTTCACCATCTGCATCGAGCAAATCAGGAGTCTGTGATGACTGAGGCTGTTGCTGTTGAGCAGCCAAATAAACAGCCAACATTTCAGGGTTTTGAAGAATTTCTGAGAGGTCGTTTATTTCAGACATATTGATAGAACTATAAAACTTGATACAGCCTGCTGTCTTTAATTTGAATTTCAAATGTTGATAATGTTCCGATCATCAAAAACCTCTTAAATAGGGTGTTTGTGTAGGTAGGGGGGTGTTTGAGGAAAAAATGCGGAACAATGGAGAGAGGAAAGACGTAGGCCATCAGAAATAAAAAACAACAGTCAGCTGTTAAGATTTTTCCTTTTTGCATGTAATTAGCTGTGGCATAGTTCTTGTTCGTACGTCATAAGCCCCGCGTGATGGCATTGCCTGTTGCTAGAAACGTCCCCTTCCATTGTTTATGTTATAGGTACGGGATTTTCCCAGCATTGTTGAGGCCTAGTAATAGGGTAGTCATTCTTCACCCATGTTGTTGTTTGAACAATTGCGTAGTTTTCAGTCGTTTTGCATAATTTTGATTTAGATATGTTTATATTGCATAGCACCATTCGGCCTAGCCCTTCCTTTCCCACGTCTTCACGTCAAGAGACGACAAAGATTTGTTGTAAAAAGAGTGTTTCTCTCTTGTTCACTAGTTAGGTTTGTGTCAGCTGTCTTCAATTGCTGTTCTGATTGGTTTATTTTACATGGCGAAAAAATTCGCAGCGAAAAAGTTAGAAAATTCGCTGCGAAAAAGTTCTTTCTAATTTATGTGATGATAAAAATTGTAACTTTTTCAACTCGTAAAAACACGACAGACCACTGCCATATTCCCACCGTAACTGCGTAAACTAAAAGAGCCATATTTTTTAAAATTTTGTTTGAAAACCCCAAAAAATTGTTATGCGTTGTTGATTCATATCTCCTCTAACTACCTGCATCAGAAAAGACACTGAAATAGTTATGAGCCACGAGAAAACCATTGATGAAATCAAGCAATTTTCCATACTGAACCCTATTGCAGCTCGCTATTTAACATGGCGGAAGTAAACAAATTTGCCTCACTCGGCAGTACGCAGCATGACTCGAGTTAGACATCTAGCGCCTTCGGCGCTTCTATATCGTTGGGTTCTGCAACCTCCAGTCAATGAGAGGGTAGCAGCGGCGAGGTATTCAAGGCAAATTTATTTCTACAGCCTCCTTATTACAGTCATTCTGAAATTTTTGACATTACCCTTTGGTTAAATTTCATCAACAAACCAAGCAACAAAAACAGAAACAGATAATTTGGGTTTTGTGTCAAGGGGCTTTCTGAGAGGCATTTTTGGTTTTAATTGAAAAAAGCCTGTAGCAATTTCTCATTTCTGAATGCTTAGCTAGGTCCAAATATTTTGACTCTGGTACCAACACTCTCCCCTAGTGGTTCTGCCTTCAGATTAATTTCCTGAAACAACATGACGATGAAACCTAAACAGGTAGACAGGACAAATGTAGGTGCGCCGTTGCGGCAAAAAATGATTAATTTTTGTGTATGCAGTTTTAAAAAAAGTGCATACAGTTTTGAAAAAATGTAATTACACATTCAAAAAATTGTGTACGCACAACAAAAATGTTGTGTATGCAAACATAAATTTTTGTGCATCCAAATTTTTGTGCAAACATAACTGTTGTGTGTGCGGATTTCGCTGCGAGTATTTGTCACAAATCGATGCGTGTGTGTGTGTTACAAAAATGATGTGTGTGTCTTGGTTTTTTTCCTTTGTCCTGTCATTATTAGCAGCTTCCAAATAATACTTACGCACCCAGTACATGCTTTTTTGAGAGTATTTCTTAAGAATATTACGGTTCAGAGTCTAACTGAATATCGTTTTTTTTAAAAAAAACATGTTTTCAATCAAGGGCGCCAGAAACACGATGCCCCTCCTGTCCTGACTCTACGGGGACAGCGAGGGTAGCACTGTGCCTTTGTGAAATTGGCACTTTGTTTTTGTGGATAGAAAAAATCTCAAGTTCTTCGGTGAGAATTGAATAAGCCCTATTTTGAACATGAACGTGCCATTTTTGTTAAAAAATCAGGACACATAATTCTGCACGACTGAAAAATATGACCCATAATTTCGCAAACATGATGAAAACTATACCTATAATTCCGCAAAGCAAATAACTTTTTTTTAAAGTACAACAAAATCATCAAACCATTTTTGCATGTCCTTTGCCTAAAATCTCAGTATTTCACATATTTCATACTCTCATTCACTTCTAACTGGACATTCATTTTTTTAAAGCTCAATTTCCTTCTAATAATTTTGCAATACTTTTTGAAATGGTACTTTGGAATGTAATAAGTATTAAAGTTCGCGTAGAGCCGTCGTTTATTATGTTAGCTGTTTAGTTAAAAGTTTACGCTCATTTTTTTAAGGAAACAGAGGTCGATGAAAAGTACTCCAGTTTCTTAATATTTTGAAAATTATTATGTCATAAATGATGTTATGAATTGTTTGTGACCTTTTTATCACGTTAAGAGATTCGCTTTTGTTCTGATGCTGTATTTAGATGACACGGGAAGTGTATTTTTATTCCTTGTGTCTTAAGCTCTAGGCCAGCAGGGAAATCTTTTTTTTGGATTTTACAAAAATTCGTTGTTCTCAGTTTTATCACGATTTAATAGTTGCTTAATCTTTTTGCTTCGAGTACGGAAGTTTCTTAATTTTTTCTGACTGTCCAGTACTCGTTTCTTATAGCCAGTTTCTTGTGAAAAAAATGAGTGTAGCCTTGGAATGTCAGAAGCTGGAAATAGAGAGAAAAGTATAGCCGCTTGCAGAAACCGTCTTTCTTTAAAGTATCAGTCTTCGCAGCGTCTTTCTCTTTCGATTTAAACCTTCATTTTACAGTACGTCCCCTTGGCAAACATGTTAAGGTACCCCTCCCCTCAGCAAAAGCCTAAAGAAATTTAGGACTGGCCTTTTAGATAAAACATTTTATCGGTACCAAAGTATTATGTTATATTTTTTTCGTTGTAATTCTATTATTAGTCATTGAAAATGTGTCCTTTTTGAGTAGCCCCCAACGCCTCAAAATGCTTCCGGTGTCCCTGTTTTCATTCGAGGATGGCTTTTTTCTTTGAAAACTTTTGAAATAACATTAAATATGTTCCCCTGAAGTTAATTCATATTTGAAAAACTTAGAATGCTCTAAGGGTATTCAAGCTCAAAATTAAAATCTGCCCCCCCCCCCTTTCTCCTTGGTCGTTCCGTCGTCCCTGAAGATAATGATGTTCATAATTTTCATACGTTCGTAGAAACACGGAAGGAAGATAAATGTAAAATTTAAGGCCCTAAATAGCTAATTTTGTAAACAGCTAGAGGTGCAGACTGATTTATTGGCTGCCAATAATTCACTTGACAAATCAAGCGCAAGAGCGCGGTTTTCGATTTGCGCGTTGTACTTTGATCTCTGGACAGTTTGATTCTACTGTAATGGCTGGTCGGCCTAAAAAAGAGGAGTCATGTTCGGCAAAACTTACGTTGCTGGTTCAAAGGAAACGAAAAAGGGATATCTTAATTGTCGAGCGCTATGCCATCAAGCCAGAAATGGAGACGTTTTACAAATGATTTTTATTTTGACATGATATTTTCGAAGACATTTTTAACGAAGTTATCCAACAAGCCAATCAATGATCATGATAGACCGCCCGAAGATAAAGCGAATGTCGAAAGCCACCCGGTCCTGAATAAATCACTCACAATAAGTGATATTAATCGTGTGATTAAGACCCCGTTTACACCAGGGTTGGTATATTGGCTTTTTTAAGCCAAATTCCAGAAATTTGGCTTTTTTCGAACTTGTTTAGATTCAGAAATTCCTTTTGGCTTAAAGTCACTTTTTGGCTTAATTTTGGCTTTTTTCCATAAGTACAGGCATAAGTACTTATTTCTAACAGAAATTGACAATTCAAGCAGCCAATGCACATATTTTAATGTGATTTAGACACTTTGTTGAACATCTGTGATTTTATCCACCTTGTCCGATTGCTACGTGGTTTTCGCTTTGTTCTTCATTCCTCTTGCATGTTGAAGCAGGGTTTAATGACCGTGATGCGAGAAGGGGGGAGGGGGACTTGGAGGCGATTGTGTCGTATGGAATGACTTTCTACTTCATCTGAATCCAATGATAAAATGTTGAGGGAAGGGTAAATATTCTGATAGCAAAAACGGCTAAGCCTAAAATTTTCTGTTTGCTCCCCTTTTCCTTTGTTTTTAATTTTACCAAAAATGCGTTCCCTACATGTACATCATGTGTAAGAATTCTATGAATACAATGAAAAAGTGTCCCATCAGTCAGTTAAAGAATTCCTAGGCATTTTCACAAGAGTGGAAAATTTAAGCCGTGGGTAGAGAATTGCGTAAAGGTTAAAGGGGGTCAAGCACCCTATGGATTGAACAAAAATAGTTTACTACTTGAAATTTTCTATTGTTTTAGCCGCCTCGTTTACATTTTGGCTTAATTTGGCTTTTTTCCAACATTGATTTGGCTTGAAGCCTCAAAAGAATCTACCAACCCTGGTTTACACTGTGCCGGATAAATTTTACGTTTACACAAGACAAAAAGCGTCACGTTTACACAAGACCCACGCTTTTCGCACGAATTTAAGAGCGGCTATCCGAACAAAATTGGTTCACCTAGGAAAGTGGATTAAATTAGTTCGGATAGCTATGTGGTACAGTGTAAACGCTTTTATCCGGATAAATTTTATCAACATCGTATCTTGCTCGAAAGCGACTGGCTATTTCATCCAATTTAGTTTTCACTGTCTCCCAATCAAGACCTTTCGCCATCTTGGCTGCCTTGATGTCGATAAATACTCGGGTTAAAAGTGCAGTATCTTGCCAGTCCACGTAAAATTGGCATCCTTGTCAGCTTTCTCTACTTTCGTTGCTAGTTCAGTGTCATTTTGTTTCAAGAACAAACTATTAAAACAAACTAATTTGTATTGACAATATTTTTGGATTTGGTTTAAAAGAGAAGCAGATGATTCTGAAGAGAGAATGAAATCTTTTTAAGTTGGCGGGTATTTTGCTATTTCTTTGTTGCCCAGAAAAGACTTCATTTTGGGCGTTCTGTGCATGATTTAGGTCATGTGACTGCAGTTATACGGCACAGTGTAAACTGGAGGGCAAAGTGGACAAAATTTGTGCGGCACAGTGTAAACGCAAATCAATCCAAAAAACTTTTATGCTGGTAAATTCTATCCGGCACAGTGTATGTTGAACAATAATTATCTTTTGTTATATTGATTCGTATCTACATCCGCTTCCTGCTCCGCAAAATCGGTTATACATCATGTGACTATAATGAGTTTTAAGTGTCTCGCTTGCTGAAGTTGTGTTTTCAGTTATTATTGAGCTTTGTTATGTTGTCAGGTATACACTCGTGATTTCTTTACCCTATTTCTGCGAAACTCGACATAACTTTAAATTAACAGTGTAAATGTGGTCTTTCCTGTCGAAACAATGGTTAGTATGATTAATTCCTTTTTTTGTTATGGCAACCGAATGGTTCCTTTCAAATACAATTGCGCGCCTG